CCCCACCCCCGCCGCCCTTGGGGTGGAGCGTCCATGGCTCTTGCTCCGGCTATGGTGACCATGCCTATCAATCCACACTTATCCTCTCTGTGTATTGCCCCATTGGCCGTAAGAGGGCTGGGGCGAGGGGAGGAGAGGGGCGGTCTAATGAAAGGCCACCAGCACGGTCTTCGGGGACAGGGCGACCTCCCCCTCCCACTCCCCCTCCCCCTCCCCCCGCCTAACCACCAACCACTTTATCTTCCACACGCGCGCTCTCAAACCCATAGCGGCCATAGCGCCCGAAATAGCGACGGGGACCTATATCTTAACCTTTCCTTCCGACGTGGAACGAGCCGCCTCTGTCCATCCGGAGCCACAGCAGACAGGCCTGGCGCCTGGCCCCCAGTATGTGAACGGCGACAGGAAAGAAGTCGGCGGATGTGTTCTTTTCAAATGAAGAAGAATGCCATGAAATCGTACGAGAATAGGAATTTTCCCAAATGTTTGATCGAAGTACTAAAATAAGATGGGAGAGAAGAAGTGCCATCCTGCAACGGGTTCGCAGCGTCGCCCTGGCAGGCCCACCCTACCTCGCGGCTGCGCTGGTGCGGTGGGGCGCGGCGGAGGGCGCGGCCCCAGCACTGGCTTTCCTGCTAATGAACGGATGGCTAATTAAAACGGGGACATGTCGCGAGGAGGGGGCCGGGCGCGGCCATCCACCAGACTCCTCCAGCTCCAGCCCCCAATAACCTATCACAGGCAGGTGAGGAGGGGGGAACACCAGCTCTCATCACGTCCTCCCCCCTCCCCCTCCTTGCCTCCCCTCACTCTTGCCGCGGGGCCGCCGCCGCGCACCTAGCCTCTTTCGCCGCCTCACCACGTCCTCCCCGAACCCCAGGGGCGGCCGCGGGGGGTGCAGCCTCCGCCTCCCGCTTGCTTTCAGCAGCCCTCACAGGCCCGCACAGTTTTCCGCCTCGCCCGCCGCCCTCCTCAGTGGCAGGGGCGGCGGCGGCACCACGGCCCCCCCGCACGACACGACGGGGACCTCCCGGGGCGTCGCCCTCCCCCTCCTCCCCTCCCTCCTGCCGCTGCTCCGGCGGGGGAATGCCCGGCGGCCGAGGGAGCGCTGCGCTCGCCTGCGCTCGCCACCGGCCCCGAGGGCCTCGGCCTCGAGCTGGTGAGCGGTGTGCTGTACCTACCAGTGAGCAGGCTGCGGGTCGCTACCTCCGCCCGGCGATATCCATTCCAGCGAATCCAGTGTCCACCAACACTCACACACACAAACACAGTCCTCTGTCCGTCCCGCCAAGCGCACTGTCGGCGGCGATGAGTTCAGTGACGCGGGGGGTCCGCGGGAAGCGGCGTGCCTGCCGGGGCTGCCGGGGGCTGCCGGGGCTGCCGGTGCGGTCCGTGCGTGCCGGGCCGGCGGGCCGGGCCGATAGGGGGCTGGCCGGCGGGCTGGGCTGCAACGCTGGGGCCGAACCTAACCGCGCTCCCGCTCAGCACCGCTCAGCTCTGCTCCGCGCAGGGGTTCTGCCGCTACTGGAGAGGAGGGGCTGGAGGGCCTCCTCCCCCTCCCCCCGGGGGCGGC